CACCAACCCTTCAATCCCCACCATCGTTCCGTTCCCTCCACCTCCTCCCTCATCCGGCGCATCCAGCACACCGCCTCATTCCTCGCCCATCAAAGTCACCCCTTCCCCCCCCCCGCACTCCCAAACCCTCTCCCAACCCATCATGACCACCTCCACCATCCCCACCATCCGTCCCACCTATTCCCAAGTCACCTCCGGGGCTTTCCCCGCAATGCCACAACTTCCACCAAACTACCTCCTTGAGGACAACAACCAAATCGACCACACCTGCTACGACACCGCCCCCGATAACCTCAGCTTCAACACCCTCGCGCAGATCGTTCACCGCGACGGGGAAATCCCCCGTTCCTTCCGATCTGGCGAAATCATGTCCTTCTCCGGCCTCCCCCACGAGGACGTTTTCCTCTTCCTAACCTAGCTTCAGAACTCTTTTCAGCTCCACCACATGCCCCTTGCCCACTGGCTCCCCATTGCCACCTCCCGCCTCCTCGGCAATGCAGCCAAATGGTGGATGGCTGAAGCTAGCAACCGCCGAGCCTCCGGAGGACCATGCCCCACCTTCATCCAATGGGCCACCCTCCTCACTGCCACCTTCCGCCCCCAGAAAACCATTGACGACTACCTTGAACAATTCTGCCACCTCCGCCAGACCAGTCCCACGGACCGCTTCGTCCAATATGTCCGCTCCCTCCGACACCACCTCCCCCACACCGTCATTCCGGACTGTGCGTTCATCTCCCGCATCAAACGAGTATGCCACAAAGACCTTGCAACCGCCCTCGCCCACGAACCCGACATGCCCCTTGCTGACCTCCTCTCTCGCATGCTCCACCACCATCGTCTCTTCCATCCTCTCCAAGAAAGATATCACTCCACGCCAAGCCCGCTGGCTAGACTTCCTTGCCYAGTTCACATTCACCATTTGCCATACCCCCGGCAAAAGCAACCGCGTTGCCGATGCCCTCTCGCGACGACCCGACCACAAGCCCCCCGAGAAAGTCTACGCCACCATGACTCATATTCAACTCCTTCCATCACTTCATCACCGATACACCCAAGACTATCTCTCCTGCTCATACCATTTACAACAAGCTCCGCGATCTTGACTCAGTTCCCGACTACTTCCTTCACAACAATCTCCTCTACATCATTACCAAAGGCACTCGCCGACTTTGCATCCCCGACGCACGAGGCCTCCGTACTCAGCTCTTGGCCGAGCACCACGATGCCAAGACCGCAGGACATCTCGGTTTCCAGAAGACCTTTGACACCATCTCCCGCTACTTCTACTGGCCTTCCCTACTCGTCGACGTTAAGGCATACATTCGCTAGTGCCCCACGTGTCAAGTTGTCAACCCCTCGAACCGGGCCAGACCCGACAAGCTCCAATCATTGCCCATCCCAACTCACCGGTGGCAGTCCATCTCCATGGACKTCRTDTGYGGCCTCCCCAAGACCGACCGCGGGCATGATTGCATCTACGTCATTGTCTGCCGCTTGACCAAACGTGCCCACTTCATCCCTTGCACGACCTCGCACAGTGCCAAAGACGTCGCCACACTCTTCTTCGACCATGTTGCTCGCCATCACGGCCTCCCCGAGAACATCATCAGTGACCGTGATCCTCGCTTCCTCTCACAATTCTCGAAACACCTCTTCACGGCCTACGGAACCACGCTCAAGTATAACACTGCATTCCACCTACAGACCGATGGACAAACAGAGAAGATGAACGATACACTCCAGAGAATCCTGCGGAATTATTGTCATCCACACCAACACGATTGGGATCAGTTGCTCACAACCGCCGAAATTGCCTACAACAATGTTGTCTGCCCCACCACTGGCATGTCCCCATTCTACCTCGACCTTGGCTACCATCCCCGTTTGCCCTCTGATTTCTTGCTTCCCTCGCAGCTCAGCCCCTCCATCCCCTGCCCTTCTCTCAATGAATGGATAGCAACAATGAACAGACTCCTCATTGCCCTCTGATTTCTTGCTTCCCTCGCAGCTCAGCCCCTCCATCCCCTGCCCCTCTCTCAATGAATGGATAGCAACAATGAACAGACTCCTCAGGGAAGCAACCGAAGCCCTTGAAAGAACACAAGAACAACAAGCCAACAAGACTAACAAACACAGACATGACGTGTTATTCAAAGTAGGGGACAAAGTCTGGCTTTCTGCCAAACGCTTTGAACCTGAACAAGGCTTGTCCAAGAAACTCTCGAACAAGTGGCTTGGTCCCTTCCCCATCATTGAACAAACCTCCCCCGTCAACTACAAACTCCAACTTCCCCCTGAYATGAGTCGTGTCCACCCAGTCTTCCATGTCGAGTACCTAAAAGAATACCATGAATCCCCGCTCCAGTTCGTCGACCGCCCATATCCTAGACCTCCACCAATCATGCTACCCACAGGCCCTGAATTCGTTGTCGAAACCATCATCGTAATAATGAAAAATCTGATTCATAGCATGTGTTGGAATGTACCCGACACATTGCACAAGTCAAAAGGCATCATCACAAACTCGTAGAGACCGTGTCGGGTTTGGAAAACGGTTCTGTGTTGATCCTCAGGTCGAATTGCAATTTGATGATAGATGAACTATCTTAGTAAACAATCTACATCCTTGCACCCTATGAAGTAGGTCGTGAATGCGGGGTAGAGGCTTGGCGTTCTCAACGGTGATAGCATTGAAACCTCTATAATCAATGCACATCCTCAAGGATTCCACTTTCGTCGAAACAAATAGGACTGGTGTGCTGTAGGGAGATGTGCTAGGCCAGATCCAACCCTTTTCAATCAGCGGAGTTCATCAAACTCCGCAGGGGCTATCTTATAAATCCTTCTTTTGGGCAATTTCCTTTCGGGAATGATAGCGTGAACACCCTCCCTTTCTACTGCGAGTTCTTCACTACAAGTATCTTCAACGTCATTGAATAAGTTATGCCCGTCTCGTTGTGGACTTCTACAACGTCTCATTTATTTGACATATTGATTGTACAAATGAGCAGTTCATACGGTGACTCATATGGTCGTCCCAAAAATAAGAAATGAAATAGACACCTATTTGGAAAGGCAAAGCAAAAAAGAACACAAGTGATTCGGAAGGAAAGCTATATGAGAAACAGTTGCACTCAAACAATTAACTTTTAGTTTCGAAAAGGCATTTGCTGGACGAAATTCAACAGGCCGTATCACCCTTTACCTGTGTAGGCTCTTGGAAAAGGTTCGGATATTTGGCGACGAATTCTTCTATCCCTGGGGTTCTTTTAAAGGCCTCCTAGATACATACCCTCCTCTCAGTGTTGTTTATAATAGTTCTACGACGGGTGCATGCACATGCCATCATACGAGACCACTAGCCTACTAGCACTATTCTTCCTTAGGCTGACGGTCCTCGCATTAGGCAATATATGCTTCAACAACTTTTAGTCGCAGTCAAGTTGGGGCTTGGCTACCTCTAGGTAGTACATACCTAATAGCATATCGAAGGGCAAGTCATCGCTAACCAGGAACGAAATCCTATGACTATGTTCCCCGACTCCATAGGAGAAGTTACAAACTGTGTTCTTGACATAGTCCTCAATAATGATGTGTTGCTCGTTGGCTAGAATGGACTCTACAACTCTACTAAGCCGTTGCACTCGGTCCCCTAAGTGTAGCCTCTCTACAAGCACGACAGATGAAGTTCCTAGAAGACACAATGTCTGCGAAGGGACCACCTTTCCGTCCACCTACACTAACCTTTACTACAAAGTGTTCCCCCTTAGGCTACCCAGGACTCTCAAGGATCTAAATCTTATGGGACCTTCTTCCTTCTCCCATCTACTGGTCCCATAGTACATTCGGCAGCTGGAAGCCGGTCCAGCGTCCCATGGTTCATGATACATGCCCAGATGGGCAATGTATGCACAGCCAAGGATCCGCAATGTGATGAAGAGGACTGAATGGACAATGCAATGTTAGTTGAAACATCAACAGGCAATGTACACCCTGGTACATACAAAATGGCACAAAATAGCGCAGCGGAAGACTTCGAGATAAGTCCTGACTTGATCGGGACTGACACGACACCCCATCACTCGCCACACATGTGAGAGAGGAGGAGGGACCACATACATAGAAGAAAGGTCCCTCCTTTGTATACACACATGGGGAGATACCACAGATGAGAAATGGGGGGAGAGGAGGGACGAAGACGGAGGTGAGGGAGAAAACCAAGATCGCAATAGCGAAGTCCAAAAATAGTCCCCCGCCGATGTCCAATCAATGTCTGCCTCAGAAATGTCGGATCAGATCCTGGGCGCTCTGCCCATGGTAACCTCTGCCTGTATCCTTTGCCAGTAATCTCTTATTCTCGTATCTGAAGAAGAAGATGAAGAAGGAGGAGGAAGAGGAAGGAGGAGGAAAGAGGGAGAAGAGATGGAGGGTGAGATGAAGAAGAAGAAGAAGAAGATGTCGTCCTCCTCTATCTCACCTGTAGGGAGCCGCTGCCATGACTGACCATTGTCGTCGTCGTTGCTGTGTGCAGGTCCTCGCTCGAAGTCCCAGCTATGGCGCCAGGTAAGTCCTCCGCTTGCAGGTAAGGCCTCCTCCTATCTCTCTCTCTCCCTCCTATCCTCTACCTCTACTCTTCTTAGCGCAACGCTGAAATGCAGCGCTGGTCCTGTGGCGTGTTGCTCAAGAAGTGAGCACCTCCAACTGTGTCCAGCCCAGCCTCAACCCAGTTATAAGTAGTGTTGGGCCTGCTGGGCGCCCTCAGGTACTAGCCTCAAAACGGCCTACTTGCTCTGGGCCCCTACCGGGTATCCAGACCGCGTTGCTGATGCAGCGAGGCGCCAAAATGCGCCTCGCCTCGAAAAGGCCTCGTCCCTGTATACCTGGCCCAAGGCGTCGCCTTGGGGCCTGTAAGTCCGAAACGACATCTGCACAGACAAAAATAAGACAGGAGATAAGTAAGTAAATAAATAAATAAACAAATCAATAACTAGAGTGCTGCCTCAGGCTGTGCCTTAGAGGCCAAAAGGCCACCGTGGGCCTTCAGGGCGCGTGCTGGAGCCCACGAGCAACCGTCGGGCCCCGCAAACGGGGCCCGTGTGCGGGTGCAGCATGTAACCCCCCCCCCTCCTTATGAAGTCAAGTCGGGTCAGGGGTGAAGCTGACAATCTGAAGGTGGAACCTGGACGCGGGTGTGACGTGAAGCCGAAGATATTGGCTTGCCTTGCAACCAACGGTCAACTTTATGGGTGAAGTACACAAAATGTACCAAGTATTCGGTCGGCTTGTCGTTGTAGCGTCGTTGGGAGATGATATCGCCAGCCTCTTGAAAACCGTCCATAGAGGGTGGGTCTTGCGATCGTCGCCCGGGGATGTCGTTATGTTCCGCTGGCGTGTAAAGAGCCAACTTGGAGCAGTGAAAGACCGGGTAGACGGGCAAGTGGGCGGGCACCTGAATGACAAATGAAGGTCCTTCGGGTGCGTCACCAGCGGGTGCCACGATCGACCAGGGCCCCATCCATTTCGGGAGGAGCTTGCGAGAGATATCTTGCTTGAGGTTGAATTCCGTGGCGGAGAGCCATACGAGATCGCCGACGCGGAATGGACAGGGAAGACGATGTCGATTGGCCTATTGGCTCATGCGTTGCTGCGTCTTTGCCATTTGGTCGTGTGCCTTGACAAGTAGCTCTTGCATCCGACGCAAGAAAAGAAGATGGTTGTCGCTCTCGGCCGCCCGTGGAATGATGGTGTCCAACGGAGAGGTGACCAGCGAGCCGTGCTCGAACTCAAAGGGCGACATCCCGATAGCCGGATGAATGGACGAGTTGTATGCCAACTCAACATCCGACAACCGCTCAACCCAATCCTTTTGGTCGGGAAGGATGAGAGTGCAAAGGAGAACCTGTGCGGTATGATGCGCCCTCTCCGTTTGGCCATCGGTTTGGGGGTGGCGAGTTGAACTTGGCTTGAGAGATA